CTTCGTCCCGGAAGTGGTCCTACGATGGCTCCGGGTGCCCGGAGCGAAATCTCCGCACTCCCGGAAGTGGCTGTGCGGCGGCTTGCCCGGCCCCGGGCCGTGCTAGCTTCAGCTCTGGGCGCACCCGGCCCGGGCTTCGCCATGACCAGCGAACTAGACATTTTCGTGGGGAACACGACACTTATAGATGAAGACGTGTATCGCCTCTGGCTGGATGGTTACTCAGGTCTGTGTAGCGCCCTCCCGGGAAGCAGTTGTTTGGGGTGAGAGAGGGGGCGTGGCCAGGACTTAGGCTTCACTTATGGAAGTGGACCGACCGTCTGTGGGAGTCAGGGATGGCGAAGGATTGGAGCTGGAACCCCTGGAGGGTCTCTGGGTTCAGCAGGATGGGACCTTATGGTAGTTCCGTCTTCCTAGTGAACGATGCGGTGGCCCTGCGAGTGCGCTCCGGAATCCTGGAGCAGACAGGCGCCACCGCAGGAGTGCTGCAGAGCGACACCATGGACCACTACCGCACCTTTCACATGCTCGAGCGTCTGCTGCACGCGCCGCCGAAGCTGCTGCACCAGCTCATCTTCCAGATCCCTCCCTCCCGGCAGGCGCTCCTCATCGAGAGGTGCTCACCTGGGGGATGACGGGAATGTCAATCAGTTTGACTTATACCCATTTTGCAGACCGAAACTGAGGCTCAGGGAGGATAGGACGTACCCAGGAAATCAGAAAGTTGAGAACAGAAGGAACTAACCCCAGACTCCCTTCCCCTTCCTTAATGGATCACTAGTAATGTCCTATGCCTCCACAAGGTACTACACTTTTGACGAGGCCTTTGTTCGGGAGGTCTTGGGCAAGAAGCTGTCCAAAGGTACCAAGAAAGACCTGGATGACATCAGCACCAAAACAGGAATTACCCTCAAGAGCTGCCGGAGGCAGGTGGGTTCCACATGTATACCATATCCCACCTAACCCACCCATTCTTGATCCTCTGCTCACTGCCCCAGCTCCCAGTGCCCTGGCTCCACTTCCAGCCTGTGATTGTGGAAGCAACTTCTTCATACGTAGTTTTCTTCCTCCTACTCCCATCTGGCCAGAGTGACCTTTCATTAGGCTCAGTTCTGACTGGCTTTCCTTTGCTTATAGATTTTCATTGACTCCCACTGTCCTTGACCTTCAGACTGGGTGGGTCCCTGCAGACCTCTCTAGCCTTACATTTCTGGAGCCCCAAGCTTGTTCTTGTTCATGGTGCTCCTGCCTGGAAGGTACTGTGCTTGGGTTATATCTACCCCTTGAAATCCACAGCAGGGAGCTAGGTGCTACCTTATCCATGTGCCTTTTTGGTAGCATCCATGAGCCTTTTCTCCGAGGGAGAAGTCCCAGGGTGTATGGCTGTAAGTATGACTGTGTCTTGCTACAACCTTTATAGGCCTTGGATACCTTTCCTTTGTGTCTCATAAGCTCTGTGTGTGCAGCCTCATTTCAAGTTACTCAGGAGAATCCATTCTCAGTCAGGCTCTTGAGGAACCAGAGATCATGATGCTAAATTGAACCTAGGACAGGAGCAAGGGAATTAACTTTCTCTTAAGGAAAAAATGCCCAAAGCTAGCAAACATTTGTTGAATACCTAGTCATGCTGGGTGTGGTGGCCCACACCTTTAGTCCCAGCACTAGAGAGGCAGGAGCAGGTGGATCTCTGTGAGTTTGAGGCCAGCCTGGTCTACAGAGTGAGATCCAGGACAGCCAGAGTTACACAGTGAGACCTTGTCTCAAAACAAACAAACAAACAAAAACCCAAGTCATGTGTTGAAGGAATAACTAGTGGGAAATCAGTACCTGCCAACTGGATAGGTAACAGGAGAGGGAGTGGTCCCACACCACTTCATGCACAAGCACCTCCAACCAGTCTTCTTCCTTCCTTAACTGCTCTACAGTTTGACAATTTCAAGCGAGTCTTCAAGGTGGTGGAAGAGATGCGGGGCTCCCTGGTGGATAACATCCAGCAACATTTCCTCCTCTCTGACCGCCTAGCCAGGTGAGGGGCCAGCAATCTCCCTGGCCACACAATTTTCTCAAGCCCTTCGCCTGGCACGCCTTCCCATCCTAATCCTTTTCCCTTCTGACTGTTCTGGAGAAAGGATTACTCTATTAATGACCTGTCAATGGCATCCAATTGGCCAGGGTTAAGGCATTTGTAAAGCATTTAAGTCATGCTCGGTGATGGTAGTGTGGCCTTCCAGAGGCCACATTTCCTTGGGAGGACTGGCTGAACCTTCTCTTTGCAAAGATGGAAGTTTGGTGAAGAAATGTTCTGTGGTTGGTCACAGGGTGAGTTAAAGCAGAAGCAGGCCAGGACTAAAATGCTTAACCAAGATTACAGGTAAGATTACCTGCTGAGAGAGATTTAAAACAACAAAAAGTTTCTTCAAGAATAGTTATTAAAGGGGCTGGAGAGATGGCTCAGAGGTTAAGAGCACTGACTGCTCTTCCAGAGGTCCTGAGTTTAATTCCCAGCAACCACATGGTGGCTCACAGCCATCCGTAATCAGATCTGGTGCCCTCTTCTGGCCTGCAGTCATACATGCTATATACATAATAAATAAATAAATCTTTTAAAAAAAAAAAGAATAGTTATTAAAGCTGGGCGGTGGTGGCGCACGCCTTTAATCCCAGCACTCGGGGAGGCAGAGGCAGGCGGATCTCTGAGTTTAAGATCAGCCTGGTCTACAGAGCAAGTTCCAGGACAGCCAGAGCTGTTACACAGAGAAACCCTGTCTCGAAACCACTGCCCCTCCCCCAAAACCCTCTTGATGAAGACACTCACAGGCGCCGTGAGAAGGTGTCTCCCAGCCTGAGAGCCCCTGTCCTTGCCTACCCGCAGAGACTACGCCGCCATCGTCTTCTTTGCCAACAACCGCTTTGAGACAGGAAAGAAAAAGCTGCAGTACCTGAGCTTTGGTGACTTTGCCTTCTGTGCGGAGCTTATGATCCAGAACTGGACCCTTGGAGCCGTCGGTGAGGCCCCCACTGACCCAGGTGCCTGAACATTTCCTGCCTCCTTGGGCACCGGTTCCCTGCCAGCAGCTCTTCCCGTAGCGTCCCAGTACCCAGCGCCCCTCTTCAGCCCTCAACCCCAGGCCACCGCCACCTGTGTGTGGTCCACTTACTCCACATGCACTCTGTCTGCAGGCCAAGGGCTCACTACTGTGTGGCCCAGGGCATATCAGTTCACCTTCCATCTCTGAGATCCCAGTGAGGTAGTGGTGAGGAAGGCTCAGGACCTCACAAGATGGTCTCTCACCCACCCACAACTCTCTCATGGTCTTCGCAGACTCCCAGATGGATGACATGGATGTGGACTTAGACAAGGAGTTTCTCCAAGACTTGAAGGAGCTCAAGGTTCTAGTAGCTGACAAGGACCTTCTAGACTTGCATAAGAGGTGACTTTGGGGATCCATGAGACAGGGTATAAAATGGTCTTCGATGGCTATAGGTGTGACCCTATCTTCCTACAGCCTGGTGTGTACTGCCCTCCGGGGAAAGCTGGGTGTCTTCTCTGAGATGGAAACCAACTTCAAGGTCTGTGGCCCTGTCCAGGCCCTTCCCCCCTAGTGTCAGGGGCTTTCTGTGTTCTGTCCCTGCTGGGCAACTCTGCTCATGCCCGAACCTGACCAGCAGGTGGCACTGCTGCTCTGTGTATCTGCCTGTGAGGGAGCCCAAGTGCATAACAAAAGGGACTTGATTGATTGAGGGAGGTGGATAGATTTGGGGAGGGGCCTGGCCCTCCCCCAGCCTCAGTGCTCAGCCTCCAGCTTCTGAGGCAGAAGACAGAACTCCCAAGATCCCTGCCCCACAGAATCTGTCCCGGGGGCTGGTGAATGTGGCTGCCAAGCTGACCCACAATAAGGATGTCAGAGACCTATTTGTGGACCTTGTGGAGAAGGTGAGCAGTCCTGTCCCACATCCCTGATCCCTAGCCTGTCTTGTCTCTTAGCGGTTCTGATGGTGTTCCTTGTTTCCTGGGGCCTACAGTTTGTGGAACCCTGCCGCTCTGACCACTGGCCACTGAGTGACGTGAGACTCTTCCTCAACCAGTATTCAGCGTCTGTCCACTCCCTGGATGGCTTCCGGTAAGAGGCGCCAGGTCCGCTGGCTCACTTGTTTCCTCCAGTAGACTCAGGGTTTTTCCTATTGCACTACCCTGTGGGTGGAAGTTCTACCTCTTCTTTGTGACCTTAGGCAAGTTACTTACCCTTTTGTGCTTTCTCAAATGTAAACTGAGGCTAAAACTAGAAGACTCATAAGACTGAAAATTAGTCTAGGGGTGTAGCTTGGTAAGGGTATACTTATTCACGGTGAGCAAGGCCCTAAGTTCAACCCTCAGTACAGCGTGGGGAGTCGGGAGAAGGAAGCCAGGCGTAATGGCTCAAGTCTGTAGTCCCAGCCCTTCAGAAGTTGGAACATGAGGATTACCACTGTTTTCCAGGCCAGCCTGGGCTACAGAACGAGACTCTGTCTCCAAAAACAAACTCTGTGTGTGTGTGTGTGTGTATGTGTGTGTGTGTGTGTGTGTGTGTGTGTGTATGTGTGTGTGTATGTTTTATGTATGTTCAGGCAAAGAAAGCGTTCGCAGCAGTGTGGCAGGCATGGTGTGGATGGCTGTCGGCTCTCACGGTCGTTCTTTTCATTGCAGGCACCAGGCCCTCTGGGACCGCTACATGGGTACCCTCCGTGGCTGCCTCCTGCGCCTCTATCATGACTAAAGCCCCTCTCCTCCCACTCCTGCACACCCTGACAATAAAGTTGCCATAAATTTGGAGACTGGTCCTTGTTCCAGGTTGAGGGGCTCCTGGGGACTTTCACAGTGCGCCCCCATGTGTGCCAAGTGCCATGCCATCGGCGTGTGGGGATGTTAATACTACCACCCCAGGGACTGGACCATGCCCCGGATGAGGTCTTTGTACCCCCACCCCCCCCTCTTCACACCCCAGCTCAAACCACGCAGGAGCCAGGGATCATGTCTTGGTTTATGAAGCCTTAGAGAGAAGATGAGGAAGCCAGGAAGAACTTAGGGTAGGGCTGACAAGGAGGGTAGTGGCCCTGTGGGAGAGGCTGAGGGGTGGCTGCTGGCCTCAAGGTGGGCAAGAGATTGGTTGCTTCTTCCCTGGATGGTCTACACGAGCTGTGAACGGGTACTTGGCGATGCCACAGCTGTTGTTTCCCCGGTACAGCCTGAAGTAGCCCTAGGGAGTTAGGGGCTGTCAGTGCCGGAAGGCAGCGAAGACACTCGTCTGCCCCTTGCCCACCCCACCCCAGCCCACCCCACTCACCTTCTCGCCCCATTCGGCTCCCCAGGAGTTCTTCAGGATCCAGTATGGCACAGAGCGGCGAGGCTTGCGAGCCTGGGACAAGAGCGTCCCTGACCGTATGCCTTTCTTCTCCTTGCCCTTGCCAAAGCCCACCAGCAGGACTGAGTGGTCCACATGCTGGGGGTCACAGGTAGTGTGTGTGGCCTTGATCACACCCTTCCGGTAGCCCTGCAGGGGTCGGGGATAGAGGAGCTGAGTCGGGCTGGCTCTTCCATAAGCCGCTTCTCTCTGTCCCCTACTTCACCCACCTGTAGCAGCTTCTTGTTGATGGTCACAGTGATAGGGCCGTGGGTAGCCAGGTAGCCTGCAATTACTGGAAATGGATAATCACTCAAGATTCCCGAGCATGCCATCAAGCCCTCCCTCCCCCCATGCTGTGCTCTTCTCGCAGGGGAATGGACTTTGTGTCTCCCATGGCCGGGCCTGTCTGCCTCCATTCTGGTGTCTCTGCCCTCCCAGCCCCTGTGCCCACCCTGGCCATACCCTGCTCGTTACTGGACAGCATGATGAAATCTTGGATCCAGGCCACCTTCTTGTACTTCTTGGCTAGGCACCCGTTGGGGTTGTGGTGCCCCAGGAATGGGTAATCCTTTTCGCTGGCCAGGCCACCTGAAGACAAACAAGACCAGGAAGGAGGCTTGGCGACTGAACGCCCTCCCTCCCCGCTGCCCTCCCACAAGGCCTGCTACTCAACTGTTGTTGAGGACAGTCATATATGCATCCCACACAAAGCCACCGTGGCAGCCATTTCCACAGCGGTCACAGTCCAGCAGCTCTGGGGCAGAAAGGGACAACAAAGGTGAGCTGGCCCTAGACCCTCCATCTTTCCCTGTCACACATCTTCTCCCCGCCATACCCTGCACAGAGACTTCCACAGACTGGCGGTGTTTGATGCGCCACAGGGCCTCGATGTTATCCGCTGCTGCTATGGCCCAGCAGCAATTGCAGTTTTTCTGAGTGGAAGAGGGTGGACAGGTAAGGCATCGAGGCCTCGACCTCATTCCCCCTCCTGGGGTAGGTTGGGCCAAACCTGGGTGGGGGCAGATACCTGGTCCTTGATCGATGAGATGATGCTTGCTGCCTTACGCCAGTCACAGGTAGAGGGCATGGGTTCCCCCCACTTTTCAGATCCTGCCTTTTTGACTATGTTGGGGATCCTTTCAGGTACCCTCTGATGCCCATATAGCTGGCCAAACTCCTCCTCTGGGGACAAACAGGGTCACAGAGGTCACAGGTTTGACACTCTTTTTTTTTTTCTTTTGGTTTTTTTGAAACAGGGTTTCTCTGTGTAGCTTTGCGCCTTTCCTGGAACTCGCTTTGTAGACCAGGCTGGCCTCAAACTCAAAGAGCTCCGCCTGCCTCCGCCTCCCGAGTGCTGGGATTAGAGGCGTGCACCACCACCGCCAGGCAACCCTCTTCTCTTCTATATTCTCCCTTTCCAGCAGTCAAAACCTTGCTTTTTTTTTTTTTTTTTTTTTTGGTTTGTGTAGCTTTGCGCCTTTCCTGAAACTCACTTGGTAGTCCAGGCTGGCCTTGAACTCACAGAGATTCGCCTGGCTCTGTCTCTCTGCCTCCCGAGTGCTGGGACTAAAGGCGTGCGCCACCACCGCCCTGCTAAAACCTTGCTATTTTTACGATGCCTTCAGAGGCATCAGGAGAGGATGCTGAGGCCTCGAGAAGTCCAGCTTGTTCGAATGTAATCTCTGCACCTTCTGCCCCTGGCCTGCGAGCCAAGCTGGGACACAGGCTCTCGAGTTCCTGCCTTGTGCTCTGGGGTTTGGGGCAGTCACCAGGCTGGTCTTGAAAGGGCAAGATTTGCTCTGTCCATCTGCCAGACACCCTACCCGCGACCTATGGGCTAGGAGGTCTCTGGTACCTGTGAGGTCACTGAATGGAGTCTCCCCAAACTCCGCCGTGCCCAAGTCTTCCTCCTGCAGCCGTTGAGCCTGGGCCAGGTTGTGTGCAAAGATGTCCAGACGGCGAGCATACTCTAGACCAAAAAGGAGCTGTTGCAGGCTGGTCTCGGGGCAGGAAGTGGCCACTGGTTGGGTCATCCACACCCACCCAGGTGAGTGCTGGCTCTTTCCTATAGCCCCCACCACTACCACCCCACTGCAAGAAAGTGGTTCTCCAGCCCACATGAGGTTAGAACTTCCCCCAGAGGCGCCAAGAGGCCCACTTGAGGAGGAAGCTGAGAAAGTCCTCTGTAGGCAGTAACATGCAAAGTTAAAATGGCTGGAGATAGGTTTCCTGTACCTGTGGGCTGCACCTGCCCTGCCTCCTCTTCACACATTTGACCACAGGTATGGGGGTGAGTACGTGGGGTTGTGGGGGCAGGGCATGGCGGCATGCATGCATATGCGCACACACACACACACACACACACACACACACACACACACACACACACAACCTTTTGTGGGAGATGAAACTCAGCGAAAGCAAGAGCAGCCAGTAACTTGGGGCGGAGCCAGGATAAACAGGGCAAGGTTGGGGGACAGAGTTGCCCCCTTGGAGACAAAATGAGTATTCTTGGGGATTTGCTAATTAAAAATGTGACGAGATGGTGGTCCTCTCCTCCCTGCCTGGAGTCTGTCAGGTGGCTGCAGAGGGGATCATTCCATTCCCATCATACTTTAGGGAAGCCAAGGAATACACTGTGGACCCTGCTTCCCACTCAGGACCCTGGGCCAGGTCTTTCCCCGTCCCAGACCATGAGTTCATCTCTTAAGTAGACAGAGGAAACGAGACTGGAAACATCTGTGCCCATGATACCTGCCGCGTTTGAGTAGCTCCGGTTGTACTTGATCTGGAACAGCTTGAAGACTTCTGTCAGCTCCAGTGGGCGGGGACCTGCATCCTGGCAAGGAGCCAAAGTGGGGAGCGGTACAGGAAAGAATCATTGTAAACTCATCCTTATACCCAACCAAGGTACAAGGACAGGGCTAAGGGGTCATCAGGCATTCTCTTTTCTTCTCAATGTGAGCAACCACATGTTAGCCTCAACTGCTTCCTCTGAGAAATGGGAAAGATAAAGCCACACAGGACAGTTCACCCTATAATTGAATGCTCATTCCAGCATTCAAGAGGCTGAGGCAGGAAGACAGTTGAGCGTCTTAAGCCAGTGAAGCCAGCCTGGGCTACATAGTTAAAGGCCAACTTGGGCCGGGTGGTGGTGGCGGCGGCGGC